CTTTGAATTGCAGTATTCATTTGGCTGTTATGATTTTACCATTGGTTGTTCTTTGTAAGAAGAAATAGTCAATAATTTATGAATCTATTGTGAATGACGTAAGTTCCTTTCATGGGACGTAACTCATAGGGATGGATCTATGATTTGATAAAAAGGTGTTAATTGCCTGTATTTTGATTTGACTTTAGTTGCTACTCTGTCACCCTGCCATCCCCTTTCTTGTTAAATTTTGTTACTCACATGCCATAATTTGGAGATAGTTTGTAAGTATGTAGTGTGCTACATTAGCAAAAATCACAATTGGTTTTGATTAGTTGCTTGGTATATTAATATTTCACAAATAAATTGACGCACCCCCCGCACCACTTTAAGCCAAGGATAAGAGGGATGCTAGCGACCCCCCGTTCCACTAAACACCATTCCCTATTATGACACACTTTTTTGCCTAAAACAGTCATTACTTGTTGGCTGTATGTAATTAAATTGGTGCTCAAACACATGGTCGGATTAAACACACAAATACATAATTCATGATCTCTTTTCTCCTTCACAATATGATTAAAAATTGTTTCTCATGAAACAGGTCGCCGACGTCGTTCGTATGATCAGTGAGAACAAGCACTGGGAAGAGATCACCAATGTGAACCGCGCCAAATGTCGATGTATTCACGAAGATTGCATGTGTGACCTGAGTGTAATGGTTAACAAGACAGCTTGTCCTTGTGAATGTGAAGGAAATGCCCAGGGTTGTGAGAACGTTGGTCAGGTCGTGCATTTTCACCATACTTGTATTGGATTGAATTAATTTAGTAATTTAAATAGCAATTCATCACATATTAGCATTTTACGTTGTATTTGACGATGAAGTCCGTCGTGTGATTTTGACGGATGGAAAAACGAGCGAATGTAACTTATTATTGAAGAAATGATTTTGTCGAAATATATCAAAATGAATGAAAACAAACTTGATTTTTCTCTTTAAATTATCCTCTGTACAAATTATCATTTTAAGTGAAATGAGAAAGAAAAAGAAGTTGAAGGTATTCAAAAGACTGCAGTAAGTTCTTAATGAGTTCCAAATACATATTTAGTTTCAGGGTTTTGTTCAGTCGCCTGTCAGATAGTCAGATTCATAAATGGCGAGAAAGAAAGCCAAACTTTGCTTATTAATTATGTTTTGAATAACTGATCCACTTAAAAGAGTAAAGTAAACCAATGAAACTATTTGTAAAACAAAAACGAATGAAAAGAACACTCTCTGGCTCAAAAATGTATTTAGCCAAGTATTTTGGTATCACAGAAAATGTATCCGCCAAAAGTTTTCTACTCGCCACATTTCCAAGGAACATGTCCCCCTTTCATAAATCTCTTCCTCTTATTTGAAACAAGAAATGCAAAACTTTGAAGTGCCTATGTCAGAAAATAGGACTTGATATCATTGGAATCGCCTTGAAACGTTGATTGCGAAATCAGTAACCAAATTTTAAATTGAACTTGTTTAAGGAACACGTCCCAGGAACATGTCCCCTTTGACATATTTCTTCCCTCTTATTTGAAACAAGAAATGCAAAACTTTAAAAGTACAAAATAAATGTTTATTACTTTAAATATCTGAGTAAATATTTACCAAAGCGGATTAGTTCTTAACTGCGTTTTGCCTATGACGGAGCTCATAAGTCATAAAATGGCTTGTTGTTCGTGTAGTAATTTATTTCAAGGAGGCGTAAACGCAATTAAACTGAGATTCTTGTATGCACTGTGAATTTACCGTTTGATGTAGCTGCAATATACGTAGCTAAATTACGTAGCTATGTGTTGTGTATTCAACAGTGTTTGCGGCTCCTTGGGGATCGATTATTGCTGAATCATGCAAATTATAAAATGTCGACAAAATGTGACCACTTCTGATACACCGGCACGGCCTAATAACATTGATTGAATGTCGTTCATTTTACGGTTACGTTCTCCAGACTTCAGCGTGAAGTTGGAGATGAAATTACCAAATGGCTGCGAGTCATTAAAACGGGGGAATTATATCGTTTTTGCCGACTTGGCATATTCAACGCCCAACAAAGTCGAAAGGCAAACGCCGCCAGAATACAAATTTCGTGTCAAACCGATTGATTGTCAGATTATATAATTAAATGATTAAATGAAGATATGATCTTCGCACTTTGCTGGACAATTTAAGCAATCGTCTCAGGACCTGAAAGAATCAGGTGACTCAACGGGATTCGAACCCATGACCTCTGCGGTGCCGGTGCGCTCTGACCACTGAGCTATGAAGTCACACAGAGCAGGTCAATATTGTAGTGTACCATTAGAGACGCTAATGAGCGAACGATGCATCGCAGTTTTCATGAAACGTTTAAAAGACACGATATAGTGTGATATGATTATCTCAAAAAATGGCGGTCATTCAAAATGGCAACCAATTTATCGTTAAATTTGTGAGATCTTTTGAGATGTGCTGTCTCTACTCAGGGGCGGATCTAGGATTTTTCAAACATCAGTCATAAAGTCGGAGGCTATCCGGACCTGGTGGTCTGAGGCATTCTCCCCGAGAAATTTTGATTTCAGAGCCTTGAAAATGCCATTTTCAGCGTTTTAGAGCAATACAAAATGTATTTTGTGGGCATCGTTCTTGCGTAAAAACAACACATTTTGCTTACGCTTTTTCCAAAAAAAAAAAAGAAGTGAACAATACTTAAATGTTTTGCCAAATATTTAGGCTCATTATCATGCCAAATATATGGCTTATTAGCATGTCTAGGAACATAAAATTTATTTTGCAATAATGCTATTCAAAAACAGATATAGTCTTTAAAAATTTCTACCAAGTTGTTAGGCATAGACCCCCCCTAGAGACCCCAATTCAAACCTCTATGTAATGAGTTAAGTTAGAAATTTGGTACTACAACTGACAGTTCATAGATATAGAAAAGCTCAGACTTCAAACCATGCAAGTTTATTGTAACCCTTTACCCATCTCCACATCAGTGCCAGCAATTCACTTTGTGAGAAAACTCAAAATTTTTTCTGCCAAAGATTAAGCAAAATTATCAGAGTGAAAATTTGCAGTTAAGGACAGCTTAATGCCATAAATGTTTATTAGGCATTTTACTAGACTATTATCTCCTGTAAGTATATGCAAGGTGTGCTATATAGCAATCACTAGCAGCATTGTATTTGCAAATACAAACAGATTGTAACCAACATGTATTTAATTATATAATTACATGAATGTGAAAATTGGTTCATGTGTCATGCTTACTGGTTATGATAAATATCTTTCATATGATCAAAGCTCGTTTAAATGTAAATCTGAAATAATTTAGTTTAGAAATTATAATGTTCATCAGAAAAATTACCTAGTGATCATGAAAATATACTTTGCTGTTTTGCCAAATTTCAAGGTTTATCTGCATACACAGAAAGACATTTTTACTTTATAGAAAATGCTTTTCATACATCAATAGCCCTTTGGAATTTATGGCAAACAATCTGGTATGAGCCGGAGATTAACACACCTTTACATCTCTACATGAGGTGTTCAGTTAGAAAAGGAGACAATATGACATGGGACAACATTTCATGTATGTGAAATACTCAGGTTTAATACCATTCCAGTCAAATTGTCAAAATAAAAAGCTTCAAGGATCAGAAGACTCATAATCACAGATTAAAGTAAACAGCTACTCATGTAATCAATGTTAGTTTTCTCAAATCTTAAGGGGGTAGTATCAGAGCCCTCTATAGTATAAGCGTTGGGACCAACGGTCTGGGGCGAGCGCGGAGCCGCCATTTTGGTTCCTACTTGCAAAGTGAAACTATATAATAGGGGAATGCTATAACCCGGGCGATGATCGGGGACGCGCCTATTAAATTCCTGGTCAGCGGCAAAAGCCTTGACATAATAATCGCTATAAGTACAATATGTAAAATTTCATAACACAAATCAACACAAAGTATACAGCACAGCGCCCACATTGGCTTTACAAAATATGCGGTCTTTTTATAACGAATGTTACTGCAAACGCGCATTGTGAAGTATATTATTCTTTGTTATTGCTTGCTTGTAATATGTTCTAAAAGATAGTGATGATGCTCAAAAGTAATCTAATCGGTAACAAAGTATACAGCACAAAGTATACAGCACAGCGCCCACATTGTATTATATGTTCATTTGTTTTTACAAAATATGCGTGTCTTTATAACGAATGTTACTGCGAACGCGCATTGTGAAGTATATTATTCTTTGTTATTGAGCTTTGTTTTATATGTTCTAAAAGATATTGATGATGCTCAAAAGTATTCTAATCGGTAACAAAGTATACAGCACAAAGTATACAGCACAGCGCCCACATTGTATTATATGTTCATTTGGCTTTTACAAAATATGCGGTCTTTTTATAACGAATGTTACTGCAAACGCGTGAAGTATATTATTCTTTGTTATTGAGCTTGCTTGTAATATGTTCTATAAGATATTGATGATGCTCAAAGTATTCTAATCCTAATTATTCTGCTCAAAACCTGTCGTCATTTTTATAACAAATGTTGCTTCAAACGCGCATTGTGACGTTAAATTTACGTATGAGATTAAATCTCGAAGCTACTACTTAGATCATAGGAAATGGCCTATCCTCAATGCCTATACTCATTATGCTGAATATTCGCGCACTTTTCATTCTTACGTATATGTACTTGCGTTTTCAAGTGCTTTATCGGTCTCGCCTTAACTGCACCTAGATAGCCTATCTTTAATTTATATGTTCAATATTCGCGCACTTTTCATTCTTACGTATAGGTACTTGCGTTTTTCAGTGCTTTATCGGTCTCGCCTTAACTGCACCTAGATAGCCTATCTTTAATTTATATGTTCAATATTCGCGCACTTTTCATTCTTACGTATAGGTACTTGCGTTTTTCAAGTGCTTTATAGGTCTCGCCTTAACTCCAACTAGTTAAGAAAAAATATAAAAACCTCGCATCAAAAGTGAAAAAAATAGTGGGCACATTACTGGCTCGTGGAATGAAATTCATATAAAGACGTATAACCGTTCGAGTGTTTGCTCTGGCTCATTATTAAACATTTCAACAGACTAAAATATATTAAGGAACAAATTTCGTGTTTCATACTCAGTATATGGTGCAGACAATTCTTCAGCGTGAATCTGCAGAATGCTCAAATAAACAAGTAAACTTCCTTAGAGAAAAACTCGCAAGTGTGCAAATTCTGGAAAATTACTGCACAGGATACATTGATGGAACGGTGGAGCAAATGGAAGAACTTCTTGAACAGTTTCAGGTCTCGTAGTTTGTTTTCAATTGTTACACCATACTGCAAACAATTTGTAACATATTCCGAAAAACATCATCATGTAAACTCAAAATTTCAGTTATAATAGCAAGAAACAAAATCTAAAAGCAATATTTTGACATTATTTCATAGTCATTATAAAGCTAATATAGCTAAGTTTACTAGATCATGTTTTTTGAAGTATGTTTTATAATTTATTTCTTCACATTGTCGGCTTGAAAAGGTTTTTGTAATTGTTGAACAGTTAACTTTCAAAGGCCGTAATACGTAAACGTTGATAAATTGATTTCACGCGTTAATATATTTGAAAAGTGAAAGAGGTTTTTGAATTTAGGTAATTGATTCTATCTCGTTTGTGAAAGCTGACAACCACTCAAAAACAAGGGGCAATAAACGTTTTTCACTTACAGGTAATCAACTCAACCGCATCAAGCATCTTACCCCAAATTAAAGCGAGAAAACACCAAGAAATTTTCAACCGACGCATAAATTGGGCAGCATAGCCTGCTACATTCCCCTCCCCCCCCCTTTCTTCAATATTGCATGACCAATTAACATTTTATAATCGCAAAGACATTCCATTATGGAGTTAGAAGAATCGAATCTAACAGTCATTTCTATCTATATTAGCAAAAAACTCATTAGGAAAAAACCGTTCAATGACTCGCCAATTATTTTGCTATCTCTTTTAAATACATTTTATTATATAACACATCTGCATAGCTTAGCATATAACACATCTGCATAGCTTAGCATAATAAGAATGTTTTACTTGAAGACAAACAAAATGCTGAAAAAACATATCATTTATTTTTTCTAGCACCGCCAGTGTTTGAAAGCAAGAAGGGAAATATTCCAATTGAGTTTTTTGGAAATCCGTTTTTGATTGTGAGCAACGAAACAAGACATTGTTTACATGGGAGCGCGAAAGTATGTATTCTTCGTTATGATATTTAAGATTTATTTGTGCACAATTTGTCTTGACACCACACTGTTTTATTTTAACAAACTTCTCAGGACAGCAGAGGCACTCGCAGACACGACGTAAAAAGTGACCATGATTATGAAGAAAAGGGACGGATTCGATTACAGAACAGTAGAAAACTGGATTGTCCAGCATAAGTGCAAATAAGACAAGTCAGAGTATTTCTCGACTACTACATCGATCGAGAACAATTTACATCAGAAAACAGCTTGGTTATGGCAAAACGGAGAGTATTTAGAGAGATGGATAACGATTCCTCCTCACAAATTCGCGCCAGCAGTCGATTTTACCTAAAAATACCTCTTAGTAGTGCTCATTCAAGTCACGCCATTGGTGCCACGGCAACAGTTGGGCAGCGAATGGATTACCGACTGGTCACGAAAGTTTATAGTTTGGTAAAACGCAATGTAATTAAAATCACAGAAGTCAAAAGGTGTCTTGATCAATACGTTGAAGAGATTATTTCCACAAGACGGACAAAAGGCTACACCGCGCAAGACAAATAAACGGTACTATCCAAATAAAAAGGATATTCGAAACCACGTAGCAAAAGCAATAGAGTCCCTTAAGGACTGCAAAGACGATCAAGAGTCCCTGCGCAGGAAGGTAGAAACCTGGAAACAGAATTCTCCAAGCAGCAAGTTTTTCTACCGCACAAGAGATAACGCTTCCAGAAACGATATTCCTCCAAAGGAGGATAAAAAGTTTTTGTTTGTGCATCAAGAGCATTGGCAACAACGAATGTTGATTCGTTATGGCGGACAATTGTGTCTCATGGACGCCACATACAAAACAACGAAGTACGCAATACCGCTTTTCTTTGTGTGCGTTCATTCAAACGTTGGCTACAAAGTTGTGGCTGAATTTATGTGCCAGACGGAGACCGAAGAAGCCATAGAAGAGGCTCTGGCTATTATAAAAGGATGGAATCCAGCATGGAACCCAAAATATTTTATGGTGGATTACTCATTAGCAGAAATAGGCGCGATAGAAAAAAGTTTTCCCGATGTATTATGTTTGCGACTTTCACAGGCTGCAAGCGCTAAAACGGTGGGCTTCAGCAAGCAAGAATGGATTGTCATATGAACAGCAACAACACTTCCTTCTGCAAATGAAAAAGATTGCTAATGTCAGTACCAAACAGGAGTACGACAAGGCAGTAAAAGATTTTCGAGAGTCCAAAGTGTATAAAGAATGCAGCAAGATGAGAGAATATGTTGACCGTACGTGGTTTTCTTGCGCTGTCAGATGGGCACACGCTTTTCGAAAACAGCAAGTCACCAACATTGTTAATACTAACAATGGCGTTGAGTCTTTAAATACGAATACTTACCCCAAAGTATTGACAAATCTGTGTATGGTATTGCGGTGATGTTGGTTGAATCTTTCATTCCCGATGTTCTTCAGCACTATTTGGATGCAAACCTGCGACTGAGCAGCGCCTACTGCAAGTACAACCCATCAATCCCAGAATACTTGCACAACAGACTCCGCACTTTTGAAATGTTGCCTAAAAATCGATACGCTTCAGCCATTTTCAAACAGGACGACATAACTCCGGTTAATTTAAAGAAGGGCACGTTCAATGTCAAGAGCGAGAGCAATGTTGGAAAGAAACATTTCATAGACTTCCGAGAACCAAGTTGTACCTGCAACATATGGCACACTACCCATTTCCCTTGCAAACATTTTTTCGCAGTTTTTTCTTTCTATGACGAGTGGGATTTCGAAAGTCTTCCAGAAGACTACCGAAATAGCGTTTTCATCACTCTCGACAATGAACCTCTTGGATTGCCACAAGATACTACGCCAGAAGAACTAGAGGAAGCCAATACGTCATCATGGAGCACCATCAAAAGAGACGTTGTTTTGCACGAATCGTTGTCTTCTGATAACAAAAAATATATCCACGACACACCCCACGAAGAAACAGTTAAGTTTGAAACTACTTCAAACAAAAGTTCCAAAAGGCTCAGAAAGATCTTGCAAGAACAACTGGGCCAAATACACAGTATGACCTTCCTGATCGACAACGAGACCACTCTACAAGAAGCAGTGCAAAAAGCTGAAAGCTTGAAACAGTTTCTTGAACAAAACTTTCCCACAGAAAATGGTTTGCCTCTTCGATTGAGTCCTGTGAAAAAAAAAGTTAAAGGTTACCGAGACAAAATACCATCAAATCTTTCATAAGGCCCTACCTCCCAGACGACGCAAGACAAAAAAGTCTACACCATTTACAATAGATCTTACTAATGGGCGATGAAATGGCACAAGTAAGACAAGTTATTGAATTGCTTTCTTGTCATTTCTCAAAAGCTCTCAAATGATTACTTTTATGTTTAAAAAATTTCTTATCCGTCCGAAAAGAGTAAAAACACAAAAGCACTTATCTTACTTTCCAATATCTTATTAAAGTATTGTTTCAAAATTAATTTTCACCAGCCATTAGATATACGATACGAAGGGCATCACCAAATTGTGGGTTTTGTCTTCTAAATCGCACTCATTTTTACATACTCGAAAACAACGTTTGAAAAGTTGTTCGTAATTCTTTAGATTACATCTCGTCACGAGTATTTTCTGAAAGTAGTCTTTTTATTTTCATAGGTGTCCACTAATGTGCAAAACCAGGAGAATGAAAAAAGAAATTCAAGCAGGTGCAAACACATAGCAATAGAGAAATATTGAATGGAGAAAAATTTTCCAAAAATATTTGTGCAATGATGAGAGGGGGGTAGTAACATTTCAGTGTAGTATTTATATTTACTATGTAGTAATTATTTAATATGAGTGAGGACTATACCATTACACATAGTCCACTTTTCTTTCCTAAATGGCAACTGTAGTGTTGACGTCTCAGCCAGGGCCGCGGAAGTATCTCAAAAGTGGGGGGGCACTGACCGAAAAGGGCATGTGAGCTTGCAGCTTACTGTTTTAGTATATTACAGATATGCATTGTTTCATGAATCATGATTAAGTTTCAAAGTCTGCAAAATATTGGTAAACATTCTTAAAATGCTATGCGTATTCACTACTGCTCGGCGTGCGTGCTAACAAACTAAGATGACTACATGAACAATTTCATTAAGTAAAGCGATCTCAATAAAACTTCCCAAAAATCTAACCCTACGTTCGTTTTCAGAACAAAGTCCTTAGCTATTAAACGTAAGTCCAGTTCGTCAGTTCTGGCCTTGTTTACATCCATAACAATAAGATTATTGTAGCGTGCTGCCGTCATTGTGCTCCTGAGATGTGTCTTGACAAGCCGCTGGCATGAAAAAAAAGTTCTCCAGAGGCTGCGCTCATTGGAGCAACAAAGTAAATCAAAGTACGTGTGCTTTATTTCTTCTGTAGGATGGTAAGGCTGTCGGCCTGTACAGCACAAATTTACAATCGAGTCCTAGCAAACATTCCGTTGACTCAATTTGCATAGGTCCTACCAATAGGGTGGTAGTCGTGGAACTTGTCAAAGACGCATATGTTAGGTTTTGAGAAGGTGTGTGAACTGGCTCGGTCGGCGGCGCGACTAGTATCTCTAAAGACGATATAAACTCAGAATTGCCGAATTTTGGTTTGGAATGAGAATGAGGAGATAAATACGTTGATTCTGTAGCTGACGGCAGTGTCAAACTAGACCTAGAGTCGATGTTTTGGTCAATAACATTCTCTGCTGGAGCACTACTAAAAACTCGTCAGTTTTCGCAACCTTTTAGCTGTTTCTACAAGCTTTTTCCTTTTCTCGTTTTCACCTAGCAGCTCTAGGCATGATGATTTTGATTAAAGTGATTTAAACCGCAAAATTTTCAATTATTATGATCATGAATTGTCAACAGTTTTGTAGGACCAATGGCCTGAAAGACAATACGACAGGAGCAATGCGTTGCCGTAGAATTATAGTCTCATGTACTCTGCAAATTGCGACGTCTACCCAATCAACAAACGCGATTTTTGATCCATCTGGGTAATCAAGATAAAAACTAAGCTATAGCTGATTTTGCATGATGTCGACAGACTTTGTTCTACTCTCGGGCTACTTTTATCTAAGAAAAACTTCTTCAGTCCAATTTTACCTAAAACAAGGGCATTTCTACACCATGAAAGGGCACTTTCATTCCAGAAAAAGGGCAAATTTTTCCCTGTTGTAAAAAGTGGGGGGCACTTGCCCCAATGCCCCCTGCCATGGCCTCTGGTCTCAGCTGAGCACAAGGCAAATCCACTGGATCGCTTACTGAATGCTCTCTAAATGGAATTAAGTTAGGTGATCAAATGCTAGAATTTGGACCAAACAAAGTGACTCTTCAGGATTTATGGACCCTCATTCCACCAAATGAGATGACTAAATATGCTGCCACACTAATTGAAAATAAAACTTTGGCACCTGGATGGCTTAGTGATACAAGTCAAGTGATTAAACACTCTACAGCTCACATATGATTATCATGCATCAGAGACAAATGATGAAATGGTAATTGAGCCTGATTGTTATAGGTTATCAATGCTTTATGGAAACTTTCATGTGAATATCCTGGTGTCCTACCAGCAGAATCATATGTATGTCAGTTGGTGCAACGAGGATCTAGTACACGTCGATTGACACAATAATATTCCTCTCAATATGTCTGGGAGCCATTGGACACTTTTGGTAAATACAATATGGATACAACATAGCTAAGACAAGGCAACAAATTTTTATTATTTTCAATATTGTCACTTTAAAGGTAATCGACAAACAAAAGAGATGGTATACTACCTTGATCCTATGGAAGGTCATGTAGAAGAAGTTATCAGCGAAGCAACAAGAGTTGAACTTTCACAGTTTATCAAAAGCATTTGGTAAGTATACATACATTACTTCCTTGACAAATACCAGTATTTGAAATTCCAATTCAATGAATCACTTCAATGTCTTGAATACACACAGCAACATTGATATAGTGCAGTTGATAATATAATCCCTTTGTTTATAAAGTGCCCTTGTTGATCTAAAAAGTGGGTGGAACACATCAACTTGGTCTATTATTCAGCCTTCACACTATGTGCAAGAGGATGGGTTTAACTGTGGAATAATTATTTGCCTGTTAGTTGTTTTGACATTGTGTTCTAAGAAATAACAATTTAAAAAAAATCTATTTTATTTTTATCATTTCAGTTTGCTGAATATCTGAGTCAAAATCTTGACATAAATGCAAAGTTTGACATGAGAAAAGTGAGGCACGTGACTTCAACGATTATGGGTTCTTGCTATGATGACATTTATGAGTAATAACAAAAAATTATATTTTTAAATATTTTAATAAAAGGGGCAAATTATAGATTTTATTTAATTGACAAAACATTAAACTAGACAAAACATTAAAGTCGATTTATTTGTTGGAATTATCCATAAAATCAATCTGACATTTGTAATGTTATAAATTGTGTGCTTGTTTACTATACCATAAGTAAATGTGTAAAATTTATTTTATTTAGTTTGGTATGCAAGATTTGCAAGATAGATGATGGTGAAGACTGGTTGGGATGTGATTCATGTGGGCAGTACTTCATGCAAGTTGTCTGAATGTTGACTTTGGACAAACTCTGACAGAGTACTTTGCTTGCCCATAATCAGACATGACAATTGTATAATAAATTAATAATACAAAACATAAATTGTAAGATTTAAAAGTGCCGAATAAAAACGACTTACCGATTAGAATACTTTTGAGCATCATCAATATCTTTTAGAACATATTACAAGCAAGCTCAATAACAAAGAATAATATACTTCACAATGCGCGTTTGCAGTAAAATTCGTTATAAAAAAGACCGCATATTTTGTAAAAGCCAATGTGGGCGCTGTGCTGTATACTTTGTGTTGATTTGTGTTATGAAATTTTATACAAGAAACATATTGTACTTATAGCGATTATTATGTCAAGGCTTTTGCCGCTGACCAGGAATTTAATAGGCGCGTCCCCGATCATCACCCCATTCGTCTTGTGAGACGAAAATCAATTTTCCCTTGGTAATGTTAGAGTTCGGATCTTGATCAGAGCGTAAAAATAACGAACTTTTTGGAATGAAAAGGTTCACGGAAAGTGAATCAAAGTGATAAATCGAGAAGCAAGGTGAGGATCATATATAAATATAAATATATATCGTTGAAATGAAATCCATACGTTTATTTTTTTAACAAAAGGATGCAATATATAATGCATTTTTTCACGATAGACTATAAATACAAAACAAACAGATCAACTATATTTTCATTGAAAACGTAGTTAAATTTATGTGAATTTTGCTATAGTGGCAATCGATAACATTGATTTGCTTTTTAAATTATAATAATAACCGGTGACCCCAGGAGGTATGCTGGAGGGTGCTATCACTTGCCGAAGGTGAACCCCAAGACTAGTGGAGGGATGGAGCTGTCTTATTTCTCCAATTTAGACTTGAAGAAAAGTCTAAGCACTGCCCATCTAATGTATATATAACAATGGTGTGGCAAAGCCAGCTCACAACTCACAAGTTTGGTTGTGCTATGTAACTATTTGATCTGTGTTCAATTACTATAAAACAATAGATTACAAACATATATATATATATGGAGTTCACTGACTTTTCCCCATTCCTTGTGAGACGTGGAAGGCGGTAAAGTACGGGTACAAAACGTCGGCTGGTAGTCAGAAGATATCGACGTTGTACTTTGGTCGATTAACTTATGTTATTGTGTCATTGGTAATATCGATAATATTTTCTGATTTGTGATTTTCTTACTGGTAATGTTAAAAGATGCCAAGGTACACCAAATAACGGCCTTATAGCTGTTAGACTTTTCAACATTTATTATCATTTTATAAATTTTTATGATAATTTTTGTAGGACAAATAAAAGGTTTAAAGCAACTGTAGCTGTCACATATCATGATGAGGATGGCCATGTTGAGAGAGAGGAGGTGGATTTGTCAGAATTGGTTACTGAGGATCATAGAGGAAGCTGTTCTATTAACAGTCCTGATAATTGTGGTGCATTGGAAGGCCATGAACTGGGAATGGAACAAGATAACAGTGATCTTGAAAGTGATGTTCGCCATGATTGTGAAGAATCAGCTTCTTATTACCAGAAAGAAAAAAAAAAGCATGGGAAAATTTGGACATTCAGTTATAAAGAATACATTTCAGTTTGCTGGCAAAAATTGGAGCAATCGGATGTGTATTCATTGTGATAATGAAGCAAAGTTTAGGTGCAGCGATTGTGGTCCAATGGCAAAGTATTGTGAGAACTGTATGTTAAAGATGCACACAACCGTAAATATTTGTCATCATGTTGAAATATTTAAGGTAACCTTTATGAGGTAGATTATAAAAGTCTTTACAGTTAACTCACTCAACACTTGCAATAAAAATGCAAAAATAAAATGAGAGTTTACATTGTGAAACATGCTACAAAGCACTAATCTAATATTTTTATGATTGCAAGAAAGGGATTGATTACAATGAATTTCTATGAGGTTATTCATTGCTTTGTAGGATGGCATGTTTTGGCCATATAAACTCATGAACATGCTGGTGTATGATTGTTCATGCCAAACAGCTTGTCACAAAAGAAGTGTTTCTGTTGTTGATGTTAAAGGTATGTTATATGTAAAATGTGCTGTAAAAGTTTCTTCATTTTAGCTGGGATGGTTCAACACAATTATAATTTTGGATCTTTTTCAATTTTTAGGCACCTTTTGTACTGTTGAGGTACAGTTTTGCTCATGCTCTTCCGAGTTTGTTCAACTTCTGCAATTTGGCCTTTGGGGTGGAACACCTACACAACCAAGAATTGCATTTGCAATTGAGTTTTTTGAATTGGTTCATTCTGTGCAGATGGAATGCCAGGCATCAATAAAAAGCATTTGTCAGTCATTTGAAGAGTTTAATCACAACCACATATTTTCTTCTTATGCAACACCAAAATGTATCCTGTCATTATAGATGCTTTTGAAGAATACAGGTAATTGCATGTAGGTCACTGATTTATTGCACTGCTGTACTAATTATGAATTGCTGGGAAAGTTGCAGTCAATTTTATAGCCTAAGAATCTCATCTTAAGAGATGTATTTAATTGGAGGAAATCAAAATGCTAAAGTTTATGATGAGAAAGGATTTTTCCTCAAGTATTACTGTATTGCACTGTATTTTGTTTATGTCATTTGTTTAAGAGTGCATAATTGCTTTCTTTGTGTCATTGTTTTTTTTTCAGAATTTACAGACATGAACTAAACATGTTGAGCTGTGTTATTCCTGAGCTTGATGAAGGAAATATCTGTCCTGCTTGTCCCAAAGTGAGTATATTCGTATTACTCGTTTAACAATGACAATTTAGTAAAAAGAACATTAGCAATGCTATCTTAAACACCTTTTTGACTGCATCATTTGCATCATTGAACTCAAATACATTGCATGATTTTATCCTTCACCATTTTATTGAAGACTGATGGTGTGATCTTTGAGTCTCTTGATGCTCTTTTTATTGGACGAAGGAAAAAAAGCTGGGCAGAGTATTGGAAAACCTCTATTTGAACAGCTGATGTTCTATGATCAGACACATGTTGATCAATTTGTTGCCAATTATACCACACCTACATCAAACAAGGTCAATGTAGCTTTAATATACTTTGTTATTCTAATGAAAATTCAGGCATGGAAGTTACAGTGCTTTGAATATATTTGATTTTTACATTCTCTACCACATAGTTTTATTTTCAATAAATTTGTGCCGTGGGCTTTAGGAAATAAAGCTCTTGTATACTTTTTTGTTTGTTACATACTGATACTTATAGGAGTGTCATGGTTTTCTTGCTGGGAATGCTGTTCGATCAATGAATCGCTACAGAGCTCTTGATGAAACAGCAATCTTTACAGGCTGTCGACATGAGTTTCCTAAAAATTCTTAAATTTGAAACATGGAGAGAGGTGTTACACACATTTTCTCTATTTTTACCTAAATGTTCTTGGTTTGAATGAGGTGGTTAAGATGCTTGCATTTGATGGTGTAAATTTATTTTTTCAGTTGGTTTGCTACTTTCATTGCTTTGTGCAAGTGCTGAAGCTTTTTGCATACATGTGGTTGCATTATTTAAAAAAATATTCTACATATTTTATAGATTGAGCTATGCAGTTTATGTTCTCCAAGAATTAGAGAAAGATAATGCTGATAAACCTGCACTCAAAATAAACATATTGTATGATGTTGCATGCATGTTGGTGAAACACTTACAGGTAATATTCAATTGACAATAGTTGCTTTGTTAACTGTTTCCTTAGTCAATAACTTTCCCTCAACACTTTTTTCTTTGAAAAGGTAGTCTTTCACATGTTTTTCTTTATTTTGTTTTTTACAAAAAGAATTTGGAGGATCCAATTATTGACATTTTTCAATTTTCAATTCCAATTTTTCACTGCTATGGCCATGTTGGACGATGCCAAGTTAGTTGTTATTGTTTTATTTTCATACGTATTAACAGATGGTGATACCTGGGTTTTATGCTGTCATAACTAATGGTATTGTAGATGATAAAATTATAAAAATCAATAATTTTTGCTAAATCTTTCTTGTAAAGGTTAAATTTAGTCCCCGTCGTAAAGAAGGATTTGGCCTAACTGACGGTGAGATGTAGGAGAGATTGTGGGCTTACATTCGCAAATTTAGCAGAATGACTAAAGAAATGCGTCCAAGTCACAGAGTTGATGTACTCAGTGATGCTCTTTTACATTATGGAAAGAAAACGAAGATTAATTTAGGTATAACTAGTTTTTGTTTCTTTGTTTGAACATATACATAGCTAACATGTCATCATATTATGTAATAGCAGGTATGAATTAAATTTTGTTTTTTGAGGCAATTTGCTGATGGCAAGGATGAAGCGAGCTGTTGACGTGGAAGAAACTGCAAAATCAGATATTGAAAAGTTATGCAGGTGCTTTCCGTGTGAGTATATGTTTGTATTTGCTGTGTGGTTATATTTGACCGATTTTGGATATGAACTATTTACGACTCACATGAAAGCAGTAAATTTTCTTTTTCATTATCTAAAGCTCACAGGATTTCAATAGATAATATTCGTGAGTGGATGAAGGACGAATCGACTTTTGGTCGTGAAGTTGAGACTGGTTAGTAATTGAGAAACAATGGCTTGTAGCTATGGAACAGATTTGACACATAATTATTGATGCTCATTATGTGGAATGTTTTGCCCACAGAAAACTTTTTTTAACAAATATACGTAAATCTTCAACAACTTACAGAAGAAGAAGATTGGAAATGCAAGTACGTTATATACCTGGACTTGTACGCTGATCTTTACCATCGATGGAATGGTTGCACTGATCCAAGTGAACTGACTGTTCGATTTAATCAGATGAAAAGTATGTTTGAAAAGTTGAACTTGTTCCTAGAGATATTAAAGTCTTAAACAGTGTGCATTTAGAAAAATGAACTGGGAAAATTTTGAAGCTATTAATGTACGTCGTAACATTGTGAATAATAAGTTGGAATATCGAATAAAAAATTATTTCTTGTTTTTATACGTACGTACAAGTAGAGATGTATAAATTGCAGGTGCTTATCTGACCGTGCCTTATATTTGTAATGATTTGGTATTTACTGTTTAGAATTGACGAGCAGTTGAAGATCATGGAAAGGGAAAACTCAATTTCTGCACGCTGGCAAAATACTGACTCAGAGTACGAAAATGCAAAATGCGAGGTTGCGTCTAGGAAAGAAAAACGTGTTTTGTCTCGAATGAGGAAAATGTTGTTGAAAGATGGTTTCTCCTAAATCTTAAGTCTAAATACTGTGGTAACTCTACCTATCTCATAAATGTTCCATACCACTTGCAATGTTTGTAAATTACTTTACATGTTGCCTTCTTTGTAATGTTCTCTGTATGTTTGTTCTGTTTTTCAGATGGTCAAGCGTTGGCATCCAGACTTTCGAAGCAAATTACTGAGTAACAAAGGATGTCAATAAAGATATCGCAGCTTATAACGAGGCAAAAGAATCACATTCTAATCATTCACATACCGCATTAACATTTGATGCTGTCAAAGATCCTGACAATGATTTTTGTGTGAATATCTAGCTGCACCTACTGATGAAGATTGTTCAGTTCCATTTACTGTTAAACGGAAGGCTATAGATTTATGCTATTTGCTTGACCGATCCAAGGAAGAGCAAATCCTGTTGAAGTCAGAAATGGAAAATACGTGGAGTCACTACTTTCAACAGCACAGCAAAATTACTGACTTTTTGAATAGTTTTATTAACCATGAAAACGTACTTGATGTTGAATACGGTGAAGATATTTTACACAGGAAGATCTTTCAAATTGGAAGCATGTTGATAGATCTAGAAAAAGGTTTTCTTTGTACATCAACAAAGACAAACCACAGTATTTATTTCATGGGAATGTTGACATGCTTCAAAGTGATCTGGTGTCGGCTCTGGATGACGAAGAAAAAGTGGTTGTATATGAACAAGTGGATTCTGAAGACGGTCAAACAAGTGAAGACGACTATGAAAGCACCAGCGATGATGTATAACGGGATTGTGCAGGCACTTTAAGCTCTTGAAAATCCTTTAATTAGAAAATCAATTTACGTAAAAGGCACTTGAAAAGTTGTTACGAAGTCATGTAATAGCCGCCCAACGTACATACGCTGGATAATAAATGCGTTGAAAAAACCTTTTTGTTGAATAAATACTTGTTGAACTGTCGTATGTAACTTTTTGGTAGTTATACAATGCAGTATATGGTGAAAATGGATGTTATATAGACATGTGTAATAGCCGCCCAACGTACGTACGCTAGATAATAAATGCGTTAAAAAAAAATTTTTGTTAAATAAATACTTGTTGAACTGTCGTATGTAACTTTTTGTTAGTTATACAATGTAGTATATGGTGAAAATGGATGTTATATATACGTGGGTAATAGCCGCCCAACGTACGTACGCTGGATAATAAATGCGTTAAAAAAAAATTTTGTTGAATAAATACTTGTTGAACTGTCATATGTAACTTTTTGGTAGTTATACAATGCAGTATATGGTGAAAATGGATGTTATATATACATGGTAATAGCCGTCCAACGTACGTACGCTGGATAATAAATGCGTTAAAAAATTTTGTTGAATAAATACTTGTTGAACTGTCATATGTAACTTTTGGTAGTTATACAATGCAGTATATGGTGAAAATGGATGTTATATATACATGGTAATAGCCGTCCAACGTACGTACGCTGGATAATAAATGCGTTGAAAAAAATTTTGTTGAATAAATACTTGTTGAACTGTCATATGTAACTTTTTGTAGTTATACAATGCAGTATATGGTGAAAATGGATGTTATATATACATGGTAATAGCCGTCCAACGTACGTACGCTGGATAATAAATGCGTTAAAAAAAATTTTGTTGAATAAATACTTGTTGAACTGTCATATGTAACTTTTTGGTAGTTATACAATGCAGTATATGGTGAAAATGGATGTTATATATACATGGGTAATAGCCGTCCAACGTACGTACGCTGGATAATAAATGCGTTGAAAAATTTTGTTGAATAAATACTTGTTGAACTGTCATATGTAACTTTTGGTAGTTATACAATGCAGTATATGGTGAAAATGGATGTTATATATTATGGGTAATAGCCGTCCAACGTACGTACGCTGGATAATAAATGCGTTAAAAAAAAATTTTGTTGAATAAATACTTGTTGAACTGTCATATGTAACTTTTTGGTAGTTATACAATGCAGTATATGGTGAAAATGGATGTTATATATACATGGGTAATAGCCGTCCAACGTACGTACGCTGGATAATAAATGCGTTAAAAAAAATTTTGTTAAATAAATACTTGTTGAACTGTCGTATGTAACTTTTTGTTAGTTATACAATGTAGTATATGGTGAAAATGGATGTTATATATACGTGGTAATAGCCGCCCAACGTACGTACGCTGGATAATAAATGCGTTAAAAAATTTTGTTGAATAAATACTTGTTGAACTGTCATATGTAACTTTTGGTAGTTATACAATGCAGTATATGGTGAAAATGGATGTTATATATACATGGTAATAGCCGTCCAACGTACGTACGCTGGATAATAAATGCGTTAAAAAAATTTTGTTGAATAAATACTTGTTGAACTGTCATATGTAACTTTTGGTAGTTATACAATGCAGTATATGGTGAAAATGGATGTTATATATACATGGGTAATAGCCGTCCAACGTACGCTGGATAATAAATGCGTTGAAAAAATTTTGTTGAATAAATACTTGTTGAACTGTCATATGTAACTTTTGGTAGTTATACAATGCAGTATATGGTGAAAATGGATGTTATATATACATTGGTATAGCCGTCCAACGTACGTACGCTGGATAATAAATGCGTTAAAAACGCATTTGATTGCGTACGTACGTTGGATAATAAATGCGTTAAAAACGCATATTGAGCTTGATTTGCTTGATAAATTACAATATATGAATAAGTGTTTATGACAAATACTGAAGTATAAACATTAAACAATTTTGCTCCTTTCAATGTATAAAAAGCTTTATATTATATATTTTAAACTTTTTTCATCCCCAGAACATGTATATATATACTGCTATAGATTTCTCAAGAGATTTTACTCCAAAACAATAAAAAAAAGAATATTTTCTCAAATCCCACCATAAAAATTGTTAATTAAGATTTCATTAAGACTTGAATCATTTGATAACCTCCATAATTCATCGTCCTCAACATCGTCAAACACATTTTCTGGAAGACTATACCTTTTACGTTTCTCTTTATTTGTAGACTGATTTAGATTTGTCTACAGGGCCTAATATAAACTGGTTTGTTGTTACTAAAGATTCTGTTGATTACAGAACCATTTAAGTATTGACCTTGAGCTAATGTAGGTTTGAGAAGTGCTGTATGGACAGAATGCACAATCTCAATTTCCACGTCATCAGGCAGGGTTCCTTGAAAAGCTTGGCGTATTTCAAGTTCTACGTCAATGTCAGTCCACTCTTTGTGAAATTCAAACGCACAGATGATGTGATCATTTTCCTGCAGAAAAACTTTTCCTCCTTGACGAGGTACATTCTTGTCATCTGGACATGATAGTAAGATAATATCACGCGAGAATGGCCCAGTACTAACTTTTTTCGACTTAGAACATTTTCTCCAACGATTTGATCTCATAGTTGACTGTTGGTCACCGAAATATCTTCTGGTATTGTAGGAAGGAGTTGCCAGATGTGAAGAGGAAGCTGTGACGGATGCATGATTTGTGCAGTGCGACTGCGTTGTATTACTTGGTTGATTTACTTCCATACCTGATGATAATGAATGTTGTCCAAACGTCTTTCTTACTTCATTCTTAACCGAGTCGTGGACTTCAACACTAGCATAGTTATTGGAAGATGCCCCGGTACTTGCCAAGGCATCCGAAAATTTTTCGATACGGTTAAATATTTGCGAAAGTATCTCTCTTGCACCTGATAAAGATTCAGTGGCCATATTGTTTTTAATGAGCCTATAAACGCGGAAAAAATTGGTGCGAAAAAAATTTCGACTGCCATAAAAATTCTCGACTGTAAACAAATTCTCGACTCCAAAAAAATTCTCGACTGTAAAAAACATCTCGACTCCACAAAAATTCTCGTCTGTAAAAAAAATCTCGACTCCAAGAAAATTGTCGACTGCCAAAAAAATTCTCGACTTCAAAAAAATTATCGACTGCCAAAAATATTCTCGACTCCAAAAATTCTCGACTGTCAAAAATTCTCGATTGCCAAAAAATTCTCGACTGCCAAAATTTCGACTGCCCAAAATATTATCGACTGCCAAAAAAATTCTCGACTGCCCAAAATATTATCGACTCCAAAAAAATTCTCGACTATAAAAAAGTTATCTAGCTGGACTATATAACCTGTATTCTCAACAGTAAAAAATAATCTCGATGGAAAAAAATTCTCGACTACTTTTGTCCACTATGGCTTTCCATAAATAAAAACATGTCAATGGTGGCATCAGCTCGGTGGAGTGACGAGTCAAGGTTAAGTCAACGTTCTCTACTGTTG